CCCCTTCCTGAACTCACATTTAGCCTGCTGTTTGGTGTAAAATGTAGTTTCATTTTTTTTTTTTTGGATATTCTGCTCTTCGATTGGCTGCCTTATTTTTTCCTACTCTTCTGTTTATTTTATCTTCATTTACTTAAAAATTTTGCCCTTGGGGAGAGTTTGCTTTGACTTATAGCCCACTGATAGAGCATGGAAGCCAAAATTCCTCTATTTTGTCCTGGTTGGGTATGCTTGGAAGATGGTCTACCATGTCTACCACTGGCCAGTACCACTTAATATTATTTGGTGAAACAAATCTGTTCTTTTAGATTTTGTGATTTATAATTATAAAAGTGTTTGAGTTGGAGTTACATGCTGTCTAAAAATGTTTTTTTTTCAAAGTCTTCCTCTTGCCTGGAAATAATAATTGATATCATCAACTTAGTTGTCTCTCCAAATTGTGTATTTGCAAATATACTTGCATACCACTTCAAGAATGACTGTCCCCCTTTCTGTCTTTCTTCCTGCTTCTCTTACTATAATACCTCCCCAAAGCCATGTTGTAATACCTTTCCACTGCATGTGGCTCTTGTGTGTTATCTGAAACCATAAGCGTTCACTGCTATATACTGAGCAACAGGAAATGGCAGGTATTCTTGCTCTATTCTCTGAAGCTTCCTCTGTCTTTTTCTCATAGCATTATTATTCCCTTTCAGTATTAACTGGATGTCTAGAGGTGCACTTCAAACCATGTTTAGATGGAATTCATGTTCTTATTTTTTTGTGATATTTCCAACTTTTAATCAAGGAAAATAATTAAAACTTGTTCACTTCCAGTTTTACTGACCCTAAAACTGTTTGACAAGTTTTTCTCTATGTTCTTATTTTTAATACTCAATTTTAATTAGCTTTCTACTTCCAAGATATTGTTCTGTTTATACAAACTCATTGAAACATTAAATATCTCCTTTGGGGCACCAATATCTTCAGAATTATCGAAACTAAAATAAGTATTGCTTAATGTCAGTCATTATTCAAAATATGCAGGAAAATGTGTGAACAGTATTAATGAAACATAAATGTCATGGAATAGATGGAGTGTTGCACTAGGGCTGTGGTAGTATGAAGGGAACAGCATACCATAAGGCTGTCTGACCTGATAGAAAATCTTCATAGAAAAGGAAAATTTAGTCTGTGATAGATAGCAGTTCTGAAGAAATGAGGATCCAACACTTTATGGGAGATATGACATCCCAAGAAAGAGATAGTTTAATAGAGACCCTAAAGACAGAACAAGCTTATTTTTCTCTAACTTGAAAAGGTTCACAGAAGGAAAGAAGAGAAATTTTTGAAATGGCAGGACACAGACATATGTGCCAATATTCTTGGTTATGTCTTGTCTCCCAGGATACAGGATTTACTGGTAGACAGTGGGGAAATGATAGAGACTGAAATAGAAGCAGATAAAAGAAGTTATACTTTCTGCCACAGTCCAAATTTCTGGCACTCTATCACCTCCATTAATTTTTGTCATTGCCATGAGTCAAGTTCTTGGGTTTTTTTTTTTTCTTTAACTCACAGTAAGCTGATTATAAACTCTGCATTTGAATACAGTCTACTTATTTAAACCACTCACATTTAACTACTGCTATAGTGGATAAAACACAGGACACTTCTTGTTCTCTGTCCTGTGATTTTAAAACTTGAGAATCCCCATTTGCTTGCTCTCTCTCTCTCTCTCTCTCTCTCTCTCTCTCTCTCTCTC